TATCTATATTATATGAATAGTTATATAGAATAAGGAATTCTCTTGATTTGGATAGCTTAAAGACCATAATAGTTGCCCAGGAAAGTTCATTGTCTTGTCCAACCAATGCTAGTCAATTGACTCAAATTAAAATTTTATTTAGGCCCATGATTTGTAGCTCATTAAAACAATCAACCTGATTGAACCATCTAAGATATCTATAGTGTATGTGATTGAAGATCCACAGCTACAAATCCTCTTGGGTCCACAGCTACAAATCCTTGTTCCTGAATCTAGCTTAGATCCATTTTCGTCTTTCTTTTGGTTTCTGTGAGCATGTGTTTTGGGGCTTAAGGATTTTCTCCTTAAGATTCCCAGATTGGGGCTTTTCAATTACGATCCCGAGAAGGATTACTGAATCATCTCTCCTGCCTTGACAATCAACATGTTCTGTTCCCTGAAGTCTTCCTGATGAATCACTTCACTGCCAAACCCGTGTCCCTACTGCCAGGATGTGTGTGGTATGAAGCTGCTCTGGCACCTCAAGAGCATTGTGTGTGTGTGTTTGTGTGTGCTTTCAAAAAACACACCTATTTCTTTCACTTTTTCGAGAACACTGCAGAAATCATTAGGCCTATATACCTATGATATCTGCAGTGAGCACATAAATAGGGCTAACTAGGCAGTGGCTGCTTTTATTACAATTAATCTGATGATTCTCAACTATGCAAATGAATATTAATTTGCAGTTGCTATTTAAATTTATTATTAATTTTCCATTGATGGCAACATATAAATATTGCCATTTTTCTGGTTTTGCATTTTTATTCTAAATTGTTGGCAGCCAAATATAGTTCTTTTTGTTAAAGTAAAATTTCCTACAACAAATATTACATAGTTATTGAAGTATTTTGTTGATTTTTAAAAATTGAGCAACCTTGCAGATTACATATGTATAATTCCAATATACCAATACCCAAATTAGACATATCTACTTAGGGAAAAATAAATATTTCATGTTATTCTTGCATAATTTCAGAAAATATTAAAAATCAGATCAACAAAATACTGGAATTCTTATGTGAAGGAAGTAATCTTGCACTAGTTGATATTCTTTTAGGTGTTTACTATTTTATTAAAATATTTGAAACAATTTAAATAGCTCCTGAACCCAAAAATACAGTCACATTTTTAGAGTTAATTTTCTCTACTTATGTTATTTAAAAATCTAAGATGTTATCAAAGAAACAAATCTAATACAGTTTAAAACTATTGGAAAAGTTAATGGAGTAGGTATGACAAAAGATTTTTCATGAATAAAAATGCTAAAATTTTGGAATACATATGGTAGGATTAATACATATATATGTATATATATATGTATATATACACATACATACATGCATACATAAATTTCCAGCACAATTTAAATCAACTCTGAGGTATCAGTAAAACAAATTTGGATATTATTGAAATGATATTTGATTATTACTTGGAAAAACAAGCCTACATCTATGCACATTTAGAAATTGATTCCTTGAAGACATTTGTAGAGCACTAATTGTTTTGAGATAAATATTTAACATTTTAAAAGTGATAAATTTCTTTGGTTATACTAATGAGTTTGGCAAATTTCTGTAGTTTTAATTTATAATAATGTAAAACTTAACTGTATTGACATTTCCCTAGTGACTATCTCAGAGATTTTGTATTTAGTAAGCACTTAATGAATAGCTGTCAAATGATGAGTATTCATTTTTGAATTATAGAATCTTAATTTTGAATAACAACTTAATTGTTATCTAGTCCAACCATTATAAGGATCAAAGCACTAATAGAATTTCCCTCCAATGAGAGTTAAAGTTGTTCCTAAGAGTCTGTAAAAATTCAGGGCAATAGGGATAGATGCTATATTATTTGAACCAAAAGTCAGGCTTAGTGGACTTGGTACCTCTTCCCTTAAATCTTAAAAATTGCAGTGTTGAGGAATATCTAGATGGCATAGTTGTCATGATATTAATGGAATAAAAGATTCATTGTTTTTTCTATCCATCAGTTTTTATTTATAGAACCAATTAGGGAGAGACAGTATTGTTATTTAATAGGACTAGAATCAGGCTTGTATTTTGGTGTACAATCTCTTCCCTTGAATTGAGAGGCACTATGGTGTGGTGAACAGAAGTTCAGCCTTGGAATCAGGATGATTGGTTCCAAGCCTAATCTCTGACAAACACAAGCTTTGTGCCTTAGGGGCAAGTGACAAACCTTCAGTGCTCCAGATAGCTATGAACATAGGATACAAGTAAGTGCCAATCTACCTTGTTTAAAGAGAGCTTCTATTCTAGGAGTTTTTATAATAAATAAAAATAAATCAGTTTTGGACCAAAACTAATTTTAAAAAATACTTTTCCTGAATGCACTTCAGCTTTTGCTTTTAAAAGATTGTGGCTAATTAGTCATTCCCCTTTCGTAGCTTCCAGAAATATTGAAAGAATTAATGATGTAATAAGTCAGATTCCCCCAGTTCCCACTCTGATTCCCTGAAGTATATATCCACTTTGGGAAGCTATTTTCATCTTATTCAGTCTTCTGGATTGCTAGCTTGTTATTATTGTTTAGTTAATTCAGTCATGTTCAACTCTTTGTGACTTCAGTTGGAGTTTTTTTGGCAAACATACTGGAGTAGTTTGCCATTTCCTTCTCCAACTCATTTTACAGATGAGGAATTGAGGGAAACAGGGTTAAGTGACTTGCCTAGGGTCACACAGCTAATAAGTGTCTGAAGCCAGATTTTAACTCAGGTCTTCCTGACCCTTGGCCTGGCATTCCATCCTCTGCACAGCCTACCTGCTCCCACAATCGCTAGCACCCTAAAATAAATAAATGCAACCTCTAAAGTGGCTTACTTTCAAATAATAATCTTGATATATCATGTATAAAGAGCTTATACTCATTTTTATCGAAGTGCTACTGTATATAAAGTATTGGCTTATTACTGTATCATAAGAATGTGTAGTTTCACTATATAAATTTCTATTTGTTATTAAATAAGAAGTTTTATATTTTATACTAGATTAGATGTGTTTTTATAGTATCACATTTAAAACTGGAAAGGATCTTAAAAGTCATCAAATCCAAACCTCTCATTTTTAAGTTGAAAAAACTGAGGCCCAGAGAAGTTGTGACTTGCCTGGGTCACTCACCTATTAAGCATCTGAGGCAGTATTTGAGCCCCAATCTTCCTTATTCCAAATCCAGTACTTTCTCTACTACACAAAGCATTGCATTTTGTGACACAGCTTCTTCCTTCTACCTTATCCATTCCTTCTTTTTCTTCCAGGATCTCAATTGAGACAAATCCTTGAATATAACATTTTTATAATATGCACTTATCTTACATTCATGGAAATTTAAAAATAACATTTTATTAGACAAGACTACTGTAAAGATTTAATCTTTTAACTGAAAATGTTAAGACATTTTCCATTTTTATACCATTCCATGTCAAAAAATGTACCAATTGTACTATATGTGTTTGGAGTTGATTTAAATTTGCTAGGATCTTTAATTACGTTTTAACATAAGCATTTTAAACACTTCTTCAAATTTTTCTTAAGCCTTGTATGAATTTCTCCTGTTTTTCTTTTGACATTAAAAATTTATCTAATTTGCTATTTACAATTACTCTCTACTTTGTAATAAAGCTAGCCAAGTCAGAGAGTAAAAGTTTTAAATACATTTGTAAATGTCTTTGTGAATGGAGACTGCAGCTTTTTTTGTTGTATAGGTATATTTCCTTTTTTTTCCCCACTTGATTTAATGTTTTAAAACCACTGAGTGGCAAAATATCTATCTACTTCTAAGATACTGATATCTTAACTGCAGTTTCAAAGTTATCGTCCCAGCTGAGGTGTGGGGGAATGTGTGTGTGTGTATGTGTGTGTGCATGCACGAATGTGTGTGTGTGTGTGTACATGTGCATGTGTGTATTTATAGATCGAGTTAGTGTGCATATATTTATAGGAACAAATATTTTCTGTTTTCTCATGCTAAAACTTGTCTGCTGGCCCTGTGAATGAAGGATATGTTTTCTGGTTTAGAAAAGCTAACAAACTAGATGACTTTTCATATTTGAAAATCCTATTGTTCAATAGAAAAGTATATGAACAATTGTTTTTGTTTCAATCAGAAGTTGTATGCTTACTTTGAATATCTATAGCTTATATATCTAGCAGTAGTGCCAGTTCCTGTTGGCATTAACTTACATTTTATAATAGGGCTACAACTATATGTTTTTACCTCCTCTCTTTCTCTTTTTCTCTTTCTGTGTTTATTTACTGAAGATTATTTAGTTATTTATTTTCTGCTTTGACTGGCACAGTGTATTCCCAGGAGTACTGAGCCAAGCACTACTTTCTCCTTTTTTTGAGTATGGCTCACCTGGAAAATGGTGTTCTGAAGTGCTCCATAGAAGTATATTGTTTTGATACCCAAGAGCAAAATGATAAATCCTAGGGTCAGTTTTTTTTAAATTACTCCCGTATATAATTTTCAAACTTTATAATCTGGACCTATCCCACTCAAATTTATTATTTTGTTTGCCAATACTATTTGGATACTAACAAAACTTCCAAATTTTTACGGTAAAATGTTACTGGAAATTTTTAATCCTTAGAAAATAAATGCTGGTATATACAACATTCTCCTGGATATATATAGTACCAGAAAAATAATTCTTTCTTGATGATATTTTGTTTGACTCTCCCTTGCACTGAAATTTATATTAATTTGAAGAAATTAGGCTATTAAATATATTTTTTCACATATGTGTTATTTGTATGCTTATTTCATAAGATGAGGATGAATATTTGTATAGAAACAGAACCTGACTAAAATTTAGAATTGGAAAAGTGTATCTTGAGTGAAAATATCAGACTAATTTTTATCCTTTTAGAAAATGCATTACTTTAGGTATAAACAATACCGAATGTTAATTGTATGGGTTTTCTTTTACTCTCCAGGTTCTATGGATATAGAGGAGAGAAACCGCCAAATGAAAATTAATAAATACAAACAGGTAGCAGGATCAGACTCCAGACTGGAACAAGATTACCATTCCAAGGCAAGGCATTTTTCTTTTTAATAGTAAAAAAAAATAATTAGTAGTGTGGAATTAAGTTTTTTACATAGTTCAAGACAGATTAGTCAGAACACATATTGAGTTCAATGAACTTGATATTTGTAAGTTCTGTTGTACATTATGTATTGTTTTCAGCATTTAGGCATTTAGAAGCATCTTACCTTATTCAGAAAAAACAATGCATCTTGGTATAGAGATAATAATCTATAGCAGTGAATTATTTCAATTCATATAGAATCATAAAATCTATTGGAAATCCTTAATTTTTGTGGAGTTATATATTCAGAATTCTTTTACCCTCATCCATTTTGAGGAACTTTAATTTTCTTCCTATAATTTTCCTATATGAATAATTTAAAAAAATATGTGATAGCTTCATATTGATTTTCCCTTAATATGAGCTAAATAAGCAAGAAAAATAAATGCTCACCCATATAAGAATAGGTCATGCACTGAAAGCAATTGAGAGGATGTATAGCAACAGTAGATGGTAGTGCTAGATGTTACATATTAATAAAAGTAGTTACATTTAATTATGCTTTTATTTTGAAAACACTTTTACATTTATTATATTATTTTATCTTCATAATTTTGTGAGATAGACTAGACCCTTGATTTCATTGTTATAGGATACTTCCAAAGAAGAAAAAATCCCTCTATCTATTTGAACCAACACCTGTCTATAATTTCTAGTCTTAGAAAGCTGCCTAGGATACTAAGGTTAAATGCCTTACCCAGGAGTCATCACAGCCAGTGTGTTTCAGAGGATGACTTGAACTCATTCTCCTTGCCTCTGAGCCAATTAGTCTATATATTATAACATTATGGGTTGGCGAATGACTACCTAGTGGTCAGATGCAGCCAGCCATCTGTTTTTGTATGGCTTGTGAAGTAAGAATGTTTTTTTTAAAAACATTTGAATAAAATAAAGCTTTTTAATTTACAAATGTATCTCCTAGGCCATACGAAACAGGCTGCATTACACTTTGCTGCCTCTCATCTGTATGATACTTTAGATTAATAAAGATATTCATGGAATAAAGATGTGGTAGCATTACTAGGTATATCAGCCACAATAATAGGAAGGATTTTGCTAATCCTTTCCATTTTGGAACGGTCTCTCTAAATCATATTCAGAAGTGCTGGACTTGGAATCAGCAAGACTTGAGTTTAAATTATCTCAGATACTGGCTCAATGACCCAGACTTAATGCCTTTCAGCCTTAGTGTCCTAACCTGTAAAATGGGAATGATGACAGAGCTAAGAAGACTATATATTTCAAGTGCTTTGGAAAGCTTAAAGGGCTATATAAATGCTAGCTATTATTATTTTAAATATTAATAATAATTATCTTCAATATTTTATCTGCTATGCTTTATGGTTTAGGGTTACATCTATTTGACACATATAGACTATAAATATGAGATATTCAGGCACATAAAATTATGTCATTTTGTTCTATATTAAAATCTAACTTTTATGTTTTAATCATGGATTAGAGGTAATCTGAGGCTATTTCAAGGTTATGAGTTGAGTAGAAGTTTTGACAGGTCATACAAAGTCAGAGAGCCTATAAGTAGGGAAACAATATGGTGCTGTGGAAAGAACATTGGCTCTGAAGTCAGGGGACTTGGATTCAAATCCTGGCTCTAATGCTTACTACCTATGTTTGTTACTGTGAGCAAATTGGTTAAATCCTTTGAGCTCCAATTTCCTCATCTGTAAAATTAGGAAATTGGAATAGATATCTTCTTAAGTTTTTTTCAGAGCCTATAGTCCTAAGAAATATGGCCCTGGCAACACTCCATGTTTGTCCTCTGAAGACCAAAATTTAGAGAGGCTTATCATCAGAAAATTGAACACCTGGTAATATATTTTTTGAATCTTATTGGTTTTTTCCCATTGGGAAGAATAAAATCACTTTTAAAGTATTATAAAAATATAAATACATGTACATATATTTATATATGTGTACATATATGTATATAGAAGATATAGCTAGATATCTATAATATATATGTGCAATGTATATTTACATTCATCTATTATTCTATCTCTATGTGTTTGTATGCATATGTTGAAATCCCAGCTGTGTCCCTTACTAGCCATGTAACCCTAGGATAGCCTAACTGCTTAAGTGCTTTAAGCTCTCTGTACCATAAATTCCGTAACAATGCTAACAGAACTTAAAGAGCTTATCTTCTAATGGAGGAAGACAACATATAATAGAGAACTGGGAAGGGGGCAATACTCTAGGAAGTAGGGTAAAGAAATGGGGAAGTGGCATGAAGGCCTCATTCTCCACCCATAAGTTACAAAGTACTTTCACATGCATTGGTGTGGTATATTCATGGATTCCAGTCTTCTAATATTCTGATTTCAATTTCATTTTTTTTGAATTTCATTTTGAAAGTTGTATTTGACACTCTTTTAAACCTCTGCTTTCCTTACCTTGATTTACTTTCAAGCTTATAAGGGATGCTCAAATTAGCAGTGGTGCATCATGAAATCTCATTCAGTTCTTTTCACAAAATAATTTTTCGCCAATATGTCAGTTGATAGTTATTTAGATTATTTAAATGCTTTCTATTGTAAAAGTATAATAAGTATGAAAATCCACCATCAGTAGAAAAATATAAACTAGAGAACAGGACTTTCAATCAATAGAATAATTGAGATGCTGCTTTAAGTATAACACAAAAGAATAATAGAATAGCCAGCCAATAATGAAATCATGTATCTGGAGAGCTATCCTTAAAATGTTATATTAGTTCTCTAGAAAGTGGTAAGGTTCAGAATCTTGATAGTTCAAACTATTATAAACTGTAATTAAAGTTAAACTAAAAAATTTGACTAATACCTAAAGCTGTGAAGGATTCATGAAAAGCTTCTTGGTTGGAGATAGAAATGAAACAGGTAATAAATTCATGCCAATTATTTGGGAACTTACGATCTGTAATTTTTCCCTTTAATAAAATAATTCTAATTTATCCCTAATATAATTGATGCTTTATGTTGTCTAGAATGCTAAATTAAGCTAGAATTTGAAAGATATAATGTAGAGGTAGTTTTACTTGCATTATTTCTATCTGTGTATTGCATTTAAAATGAGGGGCATGGAGATAGGGAAAGGAGTAGTGTCTGGTAGTGTCTATTCTGTCAGAAGATGTAACTTTAAGTATAATCTCCTCCCAGTGAGACTCATCACCTCTTAGCAGTAGTAGAACTATTCAAAGCATAACTTTTGTTTCTGTAGGATTTTACAGGGGAAGGGGAACTAGACCTATTATTTCAAGGGTGTAGGGAAGGAACATTTGGAGTAAACTTTCACTACCAAAGCAGATCAGCAACTATTATGCACTTTATAGCCTTAGAAATATAAAAATTCAACAACTTGTTCAGGGTCACAAAGCCAGTATGTGTCAGAGATGGCATTTGGTTCCAAGTCTTCTTGATTTTGAAACTAGCTCTCTAGCCATACTCTATGCTTTCTCTCTCAAGGCAGAGCCTTTGAAGACACGATAAAAGCAGTAAAGTATAATCGCCAATATTTATGTAGCACTTTAAGGTTTGCAAAACATTTTACTCACATCTCATTTAATCCGCACAGCAACCCTGTGAAATGGGTGCTGTTATTATCCCTATATTAGAGATGAGGCTAGTAAGACTGAGACAGATAATTCATTTAGTGAGGCGACATAGCTATTAAGTGTCTAAAATGAGATTAGCATTCAGGTCTGATTTCTAATTAAGCACTCTATCCATTAAGCCAAGCTATGAGCAGTAACTAATCACCATTTCTTTTACTAGTAAATCCTCCATAGGTTTAATTTTTGCTGATTCTCTTCCTTAGTTTAACTTTCTTCTTGTTTTAATTTTTAAGATTCAGTAATCTACTTTCTCCATTTTGCCATAAAGCGTTCTAAGAATGATTTTACTCATTTTATTTCATTATACTATATCATATATGTGCATATTTGCATACACACATCTGTGTACTGTATATACACATAGAGGGAGAGAGCCAAGGCATTTTACTTTCTGTATTTTAATTAAACTGTTCACACCTCATGATACAATTAGAACACAAGACTAGAATAAAGGCTATAATTTTAAAGAACTGAAAATCACCTCAGAGGCCCTCTAGTCTGTTCCCCTCATTTTACAGGAGAAGAAGCTTTAGAACCGGGAGGTAAAATACAGGTCACACAGGTATAAACATCAGAGTTAATGCTCTCTAATGTGCCACCCTATTTCTCTTGGTGTTGTGGGCCAGAATATTTGTAGAACTGAGGAGATGTGAATTAACCATTCTCTTCCCTTCCACTCCTATAACACCAGTCTAGACTTTGTAAGAAAGGATGTTATGATGCTGACCTGGGGCACTTGGGATTAATTTTGCCTTCAGGTGAATGTATCTGGGATTCAGCTGCAGACACTTTATGGAGGAGGACTATAAAAGAAGTTTTTAGGATGTTGTTGGAGAGGGAATAAGCATTTATATAGTGCCTACTATGTGTCAGGCACTATGCTAAATGCTTTAAGGGGCAAGCTCCTGAAACCTCAGAAAACTTGTTGGCTACTTTTTAGCCTTGGCAACTGCTTTTTAACCTTCTTGCTAGTGTGGCATTTATTTGTTTTATCCTCTGGACTGCTTTTAAATCACCTTGAGAACTGCTTTTACCTGAACGTACTAGTAAGGATTGTTTGAACCTTAGCTCTAGTGATAGATTGTACCAAATAAGCAATAGCAACCTGAATATTTGGGTAAATGTTATCTAGAAGAAAAAAATGTGGTCAAGGTAGTATATTTTATATTAAAAGGAAAATCCAAGAAATGGACATATTGCCATTGGAGTATACTAGGGAACACTTAAACAGAAAGAAGAAACATCATAAACCTATATAGAGGCATGATATGATAATGATGTAGGATTTCAATTATCTTGACATTACTGATGCTCTCTGCCAAAAAGCAGGAG